GGCAGATAGAGACATATATATATTTAAAATGATATGAACCCTAGAGGCCTATATAGACCTTATATATTAAATTGATATTAACCCCTAGAGGCTATTATCGACCTATATATTTAAATGTATTAACCCCTAGAGGCCTATAGTAGACCTATATATTTAAATGATATTAACCCCTAGAGGCTATATAGACCTATATATTTAAATGATATTAACCCCCTAGAGGCTATATAGACCTATATATTTAAATGATATTAACCCTAGGGCTATATTCGACATATATATTTTAAATGAATTAACCCCTAGAGGCTATATAGGAACCTATATATTTAAATGATATTAACCCCTAGAGGCTATATAGACCTATATATTTAAATTGATAGTAACCCCTAGCAGGCGATATAGGACCTATATATTTAAATGTATTAACCCCAAAGAGGCTATATAGACCTATATATTTAAATGATATTAACCTAGAGGCTATACTAGACCGATATATTTAAATGATAGTTAACCCCTTAGAGGCTTATATAGACCTATATATGAAATGATATTAAACTACCTAGGAGGATATATTAGACCTATATATTATAAATGATATTAAACTACCTAAGAGGCTATATAGACCTATATATTTAAATGATACTTTTATTAAAACCCCTAGAGGCTATATAGACCTATATATTTAAATGATATTAACCCCTAGAGGCTATATAGGAACTATATATTTTAAATGATATTAACTAACATAGAGGCTTATAGTAGGACCTATATATGTAAATGATATTAACTACCTAGAGGAATATAGACCTAATATTTACAAAATGATATTAACCCTAGAGCTATATAGACTATATATTTAAATGATATTAACCCCCTAGAGGCTATATAGACCTATATATTTAAATGATATTAACCTACCTAGAGGCTATATAGACCTATATATTTAAATGATATTAACCCCTAGAGGCTATATGACCATATATTTAAATTGATATTAACCCACTAGAGGATATATAGGACCTAGATATTTAAATGATTATAACTACCTAGAGGCTATATAGACCTATATATTTAAATGATATTAACTACCTGAGGATATAGACCTATATATTAAATGATATTAACGACATAGAGGCTATATAGAACCTATATATTTAAATGTATTACTAACTTCCCTATAAGGGCGGAATAATTAGTACCTATATATTAAAATGATATAACTTACCGCTAGATGGCTATATAGACCTATATAGTTAAATGATATTCTAACCCCTAGTAAGGGCTATATAGACCTATATATGTAAATGATATATTATTCACCCTAGGGCTAGTATAGACCCTATATATTTTAAATGATAGGAACCCTAGAGGCTATATAAGACCTGTATATTTTTAATGATTATTAACCCCTAAAGGCTATATAGACCTATATAATTTAAATGCGATTAACTAACCTAGAGGGCTATATTAGACCTATATATTTAAATGGATCTTAACCCCTAGAGGCTATATAGACCTTATATATTTAAATGATTATTAATACCCAGAGGCCTCTAATATAGACCTATATATTTAAATGATTAACCCCTAGAGGGGCTATATAGGACCTAATATGAAATGATATTAACCCCAAGAGGCATATAGACCCTATATATTTAAAGATTTATTAACCCCTAGAGGAATTATAATAGACCTATATATTTAAATGATATTTAATACCCTTAGAGACTAATATAGACCTATATATTTAAATGATATTATTAACCCTAAGGCGATATAGACCTATATATTTTATTAAAATGATTTAACTAACATAGAGGCTCCCGATAGACCTATATATTTTTTAATGAATTATTAACTACCTAGAGGCATATAGACTATATATTTAAAATGATATTTAACCCCAGAGGCTATATAGACCTAGAATTTAAATTGATATTAAACCCCTAGAGGCTATAGAGACCTATATTTTAAATGGATATTAACTACCGAGAGGCTATATAACCCTTTATATATTTAAATGCATTATTAACTACCTAGAGGCTATTATAGACATATATATTTAAATGATATTCAACCCTAGAGGCATAGTTAGACCTTTATATATTATAAGTGATACTAACTACTAGAGTGCATATTATAGAACCTATATATTTAAATGAATTAACTACCTAGAGTGCTATATAGACCCCTTATATATTAAAATGATAATTAACTACATAGAGCTATATAGACCCTATATATTTAAATGTATATTAACCCCTATAAGGCTATATAGACCTATATCGTTAAATGATCTATTAAATACCGAGGTGGCTTATATAGACCTAGATATTAAATGATATTAACCCTCTAGAGGCTATATAGACCTTATTTATATTTAAATGATATTGTTAACCCCTCGAGGACTATATAGACCTATATATTTAAATGATTAGGTTGTTAAACCTAGAGGCTATATAGACCTGTATATTTAAATGAATTAAACCCCTAAAGGCTATATAGGCATATATATTTTAAATGATATTAACTACCTAGAGGCTATAATCGACCTATAGATTTAAATGATATTGCAACCCCTAGAGGTAATTAGGACCTATATATTTAAATGAGTATTTAACACACTGAGGATATATAGACCTATATATTTAACTGATATTAACCCCTAGGAGGCTATATAGAACCGATATATTTAAATGATTATTTAAACCTAGCGACTATATAGACCTATATATTTAAATGATATTAACCCATGAGGCTTATATAGACCTTATATATTTTAAATGATATTAAACTACCTAGGAGGCTTATATAGACTATATATTTAAATGATATTAACCCCTAGAGGCTATATAGACCTATATATTTAATATGACTATTACCCCTAGAGGCTATATAGAACCTATATATTTAAATGATCTTAAACCCACTAGAGGCTCTATAGACCTATATATTTTAACCTGTATAACGACTAGAGGGCTTATATAGACCTATATATTTAAATGATATTAAACTACCTAGAGTCTATATAGACCTATATATTTAAATGATATTAACCCCTAGAGGCTATATAGACCTATATATTTAAATGATATTAACCCCTAGAGGCTATATAGACCTATATATTTAAATGATATTAACCCCTAGAGGCTATATAGACCTATATATTTAAATGATATTAACTACCTAGAGGCTATATAGACCTATATATTTAAATGATATTAACCCCTAGAGGCTATCGGGAAACCGGGCCCAGGTTGTTAGCCAGCTAGCCATGAGGTAACATGACAGAACAAAGTGTAAACAAATGATTAACAACACGCAAGTAGTTTTAGAACGGCCCACGACATGGTTTATGAACGTAAAAATGTGGTCCCTGCAACCAGGTCAGATCTTTTGATCTGGTTGGCCTAGAAGCAAGACGTTTCCGCTGTATAAATGGTGCTACCATGACGCTAACGAATCAGCCTCGCTAGGGCACTGGGAAACAACAGTACAGCGAAGCCTTCTCATTACAACTATTATCTGAGAGAGTTTTTTTCCATAGTCGCACAGAGCTCCAAATGAGTCCCATTATAGAGCCCTGGGTCTGGGTGGGTCTATTGGTGGGTCTAACTGGGTGGGTCTAACTGGGTGGGTCTAACTGGGTGGGTGTATAACTGTGTGTGTTGTGTGTGTGTGTGTGTTGTGTGTGTGTGTGTGTGTGTGTGTAACTGTGTGGTGTGTGTGTGTGTGTGTGTAACTGTGTGTGTGTGTGTGTGTGTGTGTGTGTGTGTGTAACTGTGTGTGTGTGTGTGTGTGTGTGTGTGTAACTGTGTGTGTGTGTGTGTGTGTGTGTAACTGTGTGTGTGTGTGTGTGTGTAACTGTGTGTGTGTAACTGTGTGTGTGTGTGTAACTGTGTAACTGTGTAACAGTGTGTGTGTATGTAACAGTGTGTGTGTATGTGTGTAACTGTGGGTGTGTATGTGTGTAACTGTGGGTGTGTATGTGTGTAACTGTGGGTGTGTGTGTGTGTGTAACTGTGTGTAACTGTGTGTGTGTGTAATTGTGTGTGTGTGTGTGTGTGTGTTGTGTGGTTGTGTACTGTGTGTGTTGTGTCTGTTGTGTGTAACTGTGTGTGTGTGTAACTGTGTGTGTGTGTGTTGTGTGTTTAACTGTTGTGTGTGTTGTTGTGTGTGTGTGTTTGTTGTGTGTGTTGTGTGTGTGTGTGTGTGTGTGTGTTTGGTGTGTGTGTGTGTGTGGTGTCCTACCTGGCAGAGACCCAGACAGAGAGGACGGGTGCGGTACATAACCCAATGAAACAGAGGGGCCGTGGACCACCAAGTCATTGGTTACCGTCTCCCTGTCCTCCTTCATCTGGGGACAGAGCACGCGCTGACACACCAAGTAGACCGCACCCACCACGAACAGCGCCATGACAACCCCCACAATGGAACCGATGGTGTTGGTGGGCTGGGAGGACGGCTCTTCCGTCGGGTCTGGGGGGGGGATAGAGGAGAAGGAGAAGGGGAGCTTACTAGAATGACATTATTCCACCTTCACTTTGGAGACAGTGATCAAGCAGGTAAAATACTACCTTTAAGGAGGTTAGTTGGAACGAAATCGTCACCGTATCACTTAGACACATACTCTATTTAGAAAAACTCCCTGTTTCTCATGAGAGAAACAACCATATTACTGGTCTGGGATCAGATCTAGCATGTAAAAAAAAAAAACATTTAACCTTTATTTAACGAGGCAAGTCAGTTAAGAACCAATACTTAAATTACAATGACGGCCTACACCGGCCAAACCCGGACGACGCTGGGCCAATTGTGCGCCGCCCTATGGGACTCCCAATCACGGCCGGTTGTGATACAGCCTGGAATCGAACCAGGGGGTCTGTAGTGACGCCTCAAGCACTGAGATGCAGTGCCTTAGACCACTGCGCCACTCGGGAGCCCCGAAGGGTCTAACCTAATCAACCTAATTGTTGCGAAACAACCTTATTACTGGTCTGGGATCAGATGTAAATAGGGCTAGGTGTAGACTTACAGCAGCCCAGCTCGTCCGAGTTGTCGGAGCAGTCCGTGAAGTGATCGCACTTCTGATGTTTCCCCACACACTGACCGCTAGAACAGCTGAACTGGTCCGGGGAACAGCGCACTGGAGAGGACAGGGTTCAACAAGGGTCAGAACGAAATACACACAAGACCTGATGTTTCCCCACACACTGACCGCTAGAACAGCTGAACTGGTCCGGGGAACAGCGCACTGGAGAGGACAGGGTTCAACAAGGGTCAGAACGAAATACACACAAGACCTGATGTTTCCCCACACACTGACCGCTAGAACAGCTGAACTGGTCCGGGGAACAGCGCACTGGAGAGGACAGGGTTCAACAAGGGTCAGAACGAAATACACACAAGACCTGATGTTTCCCCACACACTGACCGCTAGAACAGCTGAACTGGTCCGGGGAACAGCGCACTGGAGAGGACAGGGTTCAACAAGGGTCAGAACGAAATACACACAAGACCTGATGTTTCCCCACACACTGACCGCTAGAACAGCTGAACTGGTCCGGGGAACAGCGCACTGGAGAGGACAGGGTTCAACAAGGGTCAGAACGAAATACACACAAGACCTGATGTTTCCCCACACACTGACCGCTAGAACAGCTGAACTGGTCCGGGGAACAGCGCACTGGAGAGGACAGGGTTCAACAAGGGTCAGAACGAAATACACACAAGACCTGATGTTTCCCCACACACTGACCGCTAGAACAGCTGAACTGGTCCGGGGAACAGCGCACTGGAGAGGAGAGGGTTAAACAAGGGTCAGAACCAAATACACACAAGACCTGATGTTTCCCCACACACTGACCGCTAGAACAGCTGAACTGGTCCGGGGAACAGCGCACTGGAGAGGACAGGGTTCAACAAGGGTCAGAACGAAATACACACAAGACCTGATGTTTCCCCACACACTGACCGCTAGAACAGCTGAACTGGTCCGGGGAACAGCGCACTGGAGAGGAGAGGGTTCAACAAGGGTCAGAACGAAATACACACAAGACCTGATGTTTCCCCACACACTGACCGCTAGAACAGCTGAACTGGTCCGGGGAACAGCGCACTGGAGAGGACAGGGTTCAACAAGGGTCAGAACGAAATACACACAAGACCTGATGTTTCCCCACACACTGACCGCTAGAACAGCTGAACTGGTCCGGGGAACAGCGCACTGGAGAGGACAGGGTTCAACAAGGGTCAGAACGAAATACACACAAGACCTGATGTTTCCCCACACACTGACCGCTAGAACAGCTGAACTGGTCCGGGGAACAGCGCACTGGAGAGGACAGGGTTCAACAAGGGTCAGAACCAAATACACACAAGACCTGATGTTTCCCCACACACTGACCGCTAGAACAGCTGAACTGGTCCGGGGAACAGCGCACTGGAGAGGACAGGGTTCAACAAGGGTCAGAACGAAATACACACAAGACCTGATGTTTCCCCACACACTGACCGCTAGAACAGCTGAACTGGTCCGGGGAACAGCGCACTGGAGAGGACAGGGTTCAACAAGGGTCAGAACGAAATACACACAAGACCTGATGTTTCCCCACACACTGACCGCTAGAACAGCTGAACTGGTCCGGGGAACAGCGCACTGGAGAGGAGAGGGTTAAACAAGGGTCAGAACCAAATACACACAAGACCTGATGTTTCCCCACACACTGACCGCTAGAACAGCTGAACTGGTCCGGGGAACAGCGCACTGGAGAGGACAGGGTTCAACAAGGGTCAGAACGAAATACACACAAGACCTGATGTTTCCCCACACACTGACCGCTAGAACAGCTGAACTGGTCCGGGGAACAGCGCACTGGAGAGGAGAGGGTTCAACAAGGGTCAGAACGAAATACACACAAGACCTGATGTTTCCCCCACACACTGACCGCTAGAACAGCTGAACTGGTCCGGGGAACAGCGCACTGGAGAGGACAGGGTTCAACAAGGGTCAGAACGAAATACACACAAGACCTGATGTTTCCCCACACACTGACCGCTAGAACAGCTGAAACTGGTCCGGGGAACAGCGCACTGGAGAGGACAGGGTTCAACAAGGGTCAGAACGAAATACACACAAGGACCTGATGTTTTCCCCACACACTGACCGCTAGAACAGCTGAACTGGTCCGGGGAACAGCGCACTGGAGAGGACAGGGTTCAACAAGGGTCAGACGAAATACACACAAGACCTGATGTTTCCCCACACACTGACCGCTAGAACAGCTGAACTGGTCCGGGGAACAGCGCACTGGAGAGGACAGGGTTCAACAAGGGTCAGAAACGAAATACACACAAGACCTGATGTTTCCCCACACACTGACCGCTAGAACAGACTGAACTGGTCCGGGGAACAGCGCACTGGAGAGGAGAGGGTTCAACAAGGGTCAGAACCAAATACACACAAGACCTGATGTTTCCCCACACACTGACCGCTAAACAGCT